GAGGAAGAACTTCTTCCCTCTGAGGGTGACGGAGCCCTGGCCCAGTCTGCCCAGGGAGGCTGTGGAGTCTCCTTCTCTGGAGATATTCCAGCCCCGCCTGGACGCGGTGCTGTGCAGCCTGCTCTGGGTGACCCTGCTTGGGCAGGGGTTGGGCTGGGTGACCCACAGAGGTCCCTTCCATCCCCGACCATGCTGTCATTCTGTGTGATTCTGTTTGTGGGGGGATTTCAGTGCTGGTAACCTCCAGTGCCTGGGGCAGGCGGGCACCTGGCCTCTCTGCCTTTCCAGCCCCTGATTTTGGGCATCTGTTAATCAGGTTTCTTGACACATAAGATTGTGACGAGGTCAGATGAGCAGGATGGAGAGCTTCAGTGGAAGGCTGTCATCCTGCAAGATGGGTTCTTGTGATGGAAAGGCGTCCTGCGACTGCGGGGCTGCTCTCTGGGCGGGCCGGGCGCTTCGATGCAGTGCTGGTGTGTGTTTAAATGCTGGAGGCGTAGAGATTAATTACGTGTCGATGCTTCCATGAAGGTAATGATAACCAAACAGGTTTAACAGATAAAAGTAATCAAAATGATAGCCTTAAGATGATTGATACTGTTATTTTAGTGCTGTTTTCGTGGTGTGGGAGGAACCACTGTCTGGCTTTGGGTGCTTGTGAGCTGTGTGAAGCTCCTCTTGTCCGTCGAGGACCCAAAATCAGAGGTTTTGGCGTGACGGTGGGGAAAACGCCGTGGTGCCCTGCGTGGGAAGATGCCAAAGCTTCGTCGGCCGGATCAGGCGCCCGCTGCGTTGGAGGCCGGCAGCGCTTCCCACGAGGTGGCATTGCGAGGCTGAAATCCCCTGGGCCTCTCTCCAGCTGCAGCCGTTCGACTCCTCTGCTGCGGCGCTGTGTAACGTTCCTCTCGCAGGCTTGTAGTGAGGAAAAACCCTCTGGCTTCCTTCTGCTGAAGTTTATCCCTTTAATTACTCTAAAAGTTGCCTTTTAAAGCTAGATTTTTTGCAGAAATGTTAACCAGAGGTGCGTCTTTGCCCCCTGCCATCTCCTTGGCGTCGCTGCGCCTGTTCTGGATGTTGGGCAGGAGACCTGGGGGCGACTGCGGACCCCGGCGCTGCCCTCCGGGCTCGCCAGCTCCGAGCGGTGAGCGAGGAGGCTTCCTCCTTCGCAGCGATTCGGAGCCGAAAAGCTGTTTTCTGCGGGGCACGTTGGTGTGAGCAGCTGGGCTGGCACCAGAGGAAATGGTTGTGCGTGTCAGGAGGGGAAGGAAATTGCCCTTTTGAGCCGAGTCGTGGCCCAAGGAGGGAGTCGACGTGAGGAATGCTGCTCATAAACCTGAAATAAAGGAGAAATTTCCTGTAAGGCTGCAAGCTGATGTCAGGGCTTGGGAGAAACGATTGTGTAGAGAGCCAGCGAGCCCTCGCACGGGGTCTGTCTCGGCCTCTTGGTTGCAGGGTTACAGAGATACGGGGTTTTTTTCTCCTGGCGCTTGCAGCTTTACACCCGGTTAACACGATGCTGTAAAAGCATTTCGTGGAAAAACTCAAACTTTGGCGTTAAGTGGTTCCTCCAAAAAGTCCCGGGTCGCGGTGTCCGGCAGAAGGGGATTTCACCCCGGGGATTTCGCAGCGTTCCGGGCAGCCGAGGGCCGCTACGCTCGGCTTCTTGCCTTCTAAGCTGAACCTCCGGCCCGAAGAAATCGTGACCGCGGGCGACTCGCACCGTGGGGCGCGTTGTCGATGCCAGGAGCTGCCTCTGGGTCCCTCTACTTTATTTTTTCCTCCAAAGTGAGTTTCTCAATGCTGCCTTTGTGGTCCAAAGTCCCCAGGGGGGCTCTTTGTTCAGCTGGAGTTTCGTGATAGCTGAAAAGTGGGGGTTTTTTTTCTGTCTTCAGCCTTTCCCTGCCTCTTTGTTTCAGGGAGTCGGGTGCCGTTCCCTCCGCAGAGTCAAGCTAACACAGGCCCTGCGCGATGAAAGCTTGTTTTGTCTTGGTGGTAAAAGAGCCTGCGAGGCTGGGCCGGTCGCTTTGTTTGCGTGGCGAAGGCAGGGAAAGGGAGGCCAAAAGAAGCACATTACCTGAGCTAATGACTCCCTGCTGCCCTGGGAAGAGGAATTTCACTCTGCTGCGGCTTAAAGATGAGATATTTTTATTTTTAGGGCTGGGAGCACACACTGGTGTGGGGACACGTGAAGATGGTGCCAGTCAGAAAGAGTCTTGCTTGGCTCATCGCTTTTACTGGCCGCCAGTGGAAGGCTAAAGTGGGAAATAGCGTTTTCCAACCAGCTTAGTAATGGTCAGAGTTTGTCTGGAGGGCAACCTCGAACTACCTGGCTAAGGAGAAGGACGTTTCTGAGCGAGTTTGCGAGGAGGAGCTGTGTCAGAGCGTGCCCCGCGGCCGTAGCTGACCCGCTAGCAGCAAAGGCAGGCGTGTGGAGCTTATTTTAAGGCTGGGTGCTGCCTAGGCTTAAGAGGCAGCTTACACCTAGAAGTGTGAGATGCTGGTGGAGGAAGCCCCAGCTCTGGGACTTTCCCTTGCAGGGAGAGCAAGGGCTGCTTTCGTAGGAAGGGCAAGGTTTTATTTTTCCTGCTGCCAAAGGCTGGATTGCGAAAGCCAGGTGGCTCAGGCAACACATTCCCCAGTAACATCCAGCTCCTGGCGATGCTCGTGCCTGGTTAGCGAGGAGAGTGTTTTGTTTCCAGCAAAAAGCAGCCTCCTCCTGCCTGGCTGCTGAGGGACATTGTGTTCCACGGCACCAAAGCAGTGCTGGTGTAATTCAAGGGCTGCTATCAGTCTGTTGAGGAGTCTTTACTCGCTGGGCACGGCTCATCCCTGCGCTGCAGGCCGAAGCTTATTAAAAACACCTAAAAACGCGCGCGTTGGGAGACAGCCCGGCTCCATCTCTCCATCGCAGGGTGGAGAATTGGGAGAGCGTGGAAGGAAAGTGTTCAGTCACGGAGGAAGTGATACATATCCCTGCCTTCCCGAGCCCAAAATGCGTCTGGTTTCGGGCGGCTGGGAGCTGGAGAAACTTGCCTGAGCTGCCTGGGGAAGGTTGGTTCATCTCCTGGCGTTCCACGCTCCGCCTGCCTGCGGGGCTTGCCCAGTGAAAGAAAACACTTTGCATTTATACCCAAATAAATGAGTGTAATGCTGAAGCAGCAGGAGCACGCGGGGTGGTAGATGCAGGAAAGATGGGAGGGCTGGTTTAGGGGTGGTGGGAGGGGTTTTTTTTTGGG